AGCAGGGAGTCTGTCCCTTCTCAGATCTCAACCTCCGTGTTGGGAGATCCACTGCTCTCTTCAAAGCTGTCAGATAGAGTCGTTTGCGTCTGCAGAGCTGCTGCGTTTGTTATTGTTTACTGTGCCCTGTCCCCAGAGGTGGAGTCTACAGAGACAGGCAGGTTTCCTTGAGCTGCTGTGAGCTCCACCCAGTTCGAGCTTCCCAGCAGCTTTGTTTACCTACTTAAGCCTCAGCAATGGCGGGCGCCCCTCCCCCAGCCTCGCTGCTGTCTTGCCGGTAGATCACAGACTGCTGTGCTAGCAGTGAGGGAGGCTCCGTGGGTGTGGGACACTCCCGGCCAGGTGTGGGATATGATCTCCTGGTGTGCCTGTCTGCTTAAAGCGCAGTATTGGGGTGGGAGTTACCCGATTTTCCAGGTGTTGTGTGTCTCAGTTCCCCTCGCTAGGAAAAGGGATTCCCTTCCCCCTTGCACTTTCCAGGTGAGGCAATGCCTCGCCCTGCTTCAGCTCTCGCTGGTCGGGCTGCAGCAGCTGACCAGCACCGATCGTCTGGCACTCCCCAGTGAGATGAACCCAGTACCTCAGTTGAAAATGCAGAAATCGCTGGTCTTCTGTGTCACTCGCGCTGGGAGTTGGAGACTGGAGCTGTTCCTATTCGGCCATCTTGCTCCACCCCCTCGAGGTAGAAGATTTATGGGGATGTTTGTTTAAGGAGTTAATGATCTTAATAGAAAGACAAAAACATATAAGGATTTTAGAGAGGGTCAAAGAAAACAAAAATTAGAGGCTTTTATTTTTGAAGTGCTGACTAGGTAACAACATAGCAAATACATTGGCAGTGAATGACATTGTCTGTAAACCTTGCTCAGGTGGAACATGACGTCATGTGTTGAGGTCCCAGGTCCTAATCTGTGGATGATCTGTCTCTCTCTGCCTTCCTGCGTGCCTCTGAGCCTAACTGTGGGCCTTCTTGTAGCCCTCCTGGCTCTGATCTCATATGTTTTCAACTTTGACTGGATGGTTTATGTACCCTTGGAGGTATAAAGAGTTTCTGAGATGATATCTATTATTTTTTAATTTGGAAAGATACATTCATGTAAATAAGAAAGCATGAGAGATCAGTGGAAATTTCTTTGAACATTAAGGAAAACAAAAGTACTAGGTTTTTCCTAATAAAAACTAAAATTTGGGCCCAGCGTTTGTTATTTAAAATAGTTTTTATCTTCCTGTTTTATGCTCAATGGGCTCTTCTTGCCCACTGCTTAGATAGAACCAATTTGTCAAGACAGGGGGTTTGCAATAAAGAGTTTCACACACGTAGAACTGGCAAAATGAGAGACCAGAGTTTTATTATTACTCATATTCACCTCCCCCAAAGTTTGGAGGCTAGGGTTTTTCAAATGTAGTTTGGGAGAAGGAGAGGTGGCTAGGGAATGGGTGCTACTGACTGGTTAGGGGTGCAATCATAGGAGTGTGGGAAATGGTCCTTGTGGCCACTGAAGTTGATTCTGGGTAGGGTCAGAAGACCAGTTGCTGCCACCAGTCATCAGAAATGTAAAAACCTGAAAAGGAATTTCAAAAGACCAATCTTAGGTGCTACAATAGTGAAAGAATCTGCAGGAGTAATTGGGGAAGTTGTAAATCTTGTGATCTCCAGAATAATGACAGGTAATCATTTATGTCTACACCTGATTAGAATTCAAGCTTCTCTCATCCTCCTAACCTGGTGGTCTTTCATTAGCTTTACAAAGGCAGTTTAGTTTTGGGGAAGGGCTATTATGTCTAGGAACAAGTAAGGACAGTTTGGAAGTTAAAGGCAAGATGAGAGTTGATTAGATCAGATCTCTTTCACCATCATAATTTTCTCACTGTTACAATTTTTGCAAAGTTGGTTTCATTTATACATTCTTTCAGTGAAGTAATCTATTTCAAAATCTACTACAAAGCTGTAGTAATCAAAACAGGATGGTATTGGCACACACACAAAAAAAGACCAATTGAAGAGGACAGAGAGTCCAGAAATAAACCCAAACATTTATGATCAATTAGTTTTTCAACAAAGATGTCAAGAACACACAATGAAGAACAGTCTTTTCAAAAATTGTGTTGGAAAAACTGAATATCCATCTGGAGAAGAGGGAAATTGGACTCTGATCACACATCATATACAAATATCAACACAAAATGGCAAAATACTTCAGTGTAAGACTTGTAATTATAACGTTACTAGAAGAAAACATAATATAAATAGGATGAACAATGGCATTAATTTTTCATAAAATATTTATTTTCATCTTTAGTAATTTTACTTAAATCCATTCCAGGTGACACGAAATTTTTTCTGTGACTGGTCTCTATGGAAAACCTTTCTGGCTTGTCTCTTAGCCTGTGTGATAACAACAGCAATTGGAGTACTCATAGTATCCCTGGTATATAATGAGAAAAATAATAATGCCTCCATCGTTATCCAGTTTCCCCAAAGCCATGGAACACCCTCATCTGCCACTGGAATAACCTCATCTACAGATTCTCAACCTACTGTTACCACTACTATAATAAATTCTACCACAAAATCCACTTCACCTAAACCTACTATTATAAGAACCACTGCAAGCAATTCTATAGAACCTACCAGCACGATGACCTCCAATAACACTTCAGTTGCAACTTCAGTATCACCAGTCACCATTTCAACTGAAGCCACAGCCACAACAACAGCAGGAATTTCCACAGAGGCTACAACCAAAACAGCTGCCACTACCACTTCCACTGAATACACAGCCACAATAACAGTAAGCAATGCAACTGAACAGTCCACTACAACAACTGCAGGTACTTCCACTGAGGCAACAACAACAAAAGCCACCACTGTCACCTCTGCTGAACCCACAACCAAAACAATGACCAGCACTGAATGTAAACAGTCTGCCACCACAACTGTAGACACTTCCACTGAGACTACAACCACAACAGCCAACAATACCACCTCTTCTGAACCCATAACCAGAACAACAGCCAGCACTGCAACTGAACAGTCTGCCACTACAACTTCAGGCACTTCCACTGAGACAACAACCACAACAGCCACCACCACAACCGCTACTGAATCCACAGCCACAACAACAGCCAACACTGCAACTGAACTGAGTGCTACCACAACTGTAGGCACTTCCACTCAGACTACAACCACAACAGCCACCACTACCACCTCTACTGAATGCACAACCACCACAACAGCCAGCACTACAACTGAACAGTCTGCCACAGCAACTGAAGGTACTTCCAATGGAATTACAGACAAAACAGACACCACTGCCACGTCTACTGAACCCACTAGTACAACAATCAGCACGGTAACTGAACAGTCTGCCACCACAACTGTAGGCACTTCCACTGAGACAACAGCCACAACAGCCACCACTACCACTTATACTGAACCCACAATGACAACCACAATAAGCACTGCAGCTAAAGAGTCTGCCACCACAACTGTAGCCACTGCTACTGAGACCAAAAACACAGTAGTCATCACTGCCACCTCTACTGAACCCACAACCACAACAGCAACCAGCACTACAACTGAACAGCCTGCCATCACGACTGCTGGCACTTCCACTGAGACTACAACAATAACAGCAACCAATACCATTTCTACTGAACCCACAACCACAACAACAGCAAGCACTGCAACTGAACAGTCTGCCACCACAACTGCAGACATTGCTACTGAGACTAGAACCATAACAGCCACCACTGCAACCTCTACTGAACCCACAACCGCAACAACAGCCAGCACTGCAACTGAACAGTCTTCCACCACAACTGCTGGCACTTCCATTGAGACTACAACCACAGCCACCACCTCTACCACCTCTACTGAAGCCACAACCAGAACAACAGCCAGCACTGCAACTGAACAGTCTGCTACCACAACTGCAGACACTTCCATTGAGACTACAACCACAACAGCCACCACTGCCACCTCTACTGAAACCACAAGCAGAACAACAGCCAGCACTGCAACTGAACAGTCTGCCACCACAACTGTAGGCACTTCCACTGAGACTACAACCCCATCATCCACCACTGCCACCTCTACTGAACCCACAACCACAACAAAACCAGCACTGCAACTGAATAGTCTGCCATCACAACTGTAGGCACTTCCACTGAGACTACTACCCCATCATCCACCACTACCACTTCTGAACCCACAACCACAACAGCCAGCACTGCAACTGAACTGTCTGCCACCACAACTGCAGACATTTCCATTGAGACTACAACCACAACAGCCACCACTGCCACCTCTAGTGAACCCACAACCACAGCAGCCAGCACTGCGACTGAATAGTCTGCCACCACAACTGCTGGCACTTCCACTGAGACAATAACCACAATAGCCACCACTACCTCATCTACTGAACCTACAATGACAACCACAGCAAGCACTACAACTGAACAGTCTGCCACCACAACTGTAGACACTTCCACTGAGGCTACAACCACACCACCAACCACTTCCACCTCCACTGAACTCACAACCACAACAATAGCCAGCACTGCAACTGAATAGTCTGCTACTACAACTGCAGGCACATCCTCTGAGGCTACATGCACAACAGCCACCAATACCGCTTCTACTGAACCCACAACATCAACCACAGCAAGCACTGTAACTGAACAGTCTGCCACCACTGCTACAGCCACAGCCACTGAGACTATAACCACAACAGCCACCACTGCCACCTCTACTGAACCCGCAGCCACAACAACAGCCAGCACTGTAACTGAACAGTCTGCCACCACAACTGCTGGCACTTCCACTGAGGCTACAACTACAACAGCAACCACAACCACCTCTACTGAATCCACAACCACCACAACAGCCAGCACTGCAACTGAACAGTCTGCCACAACAACTGAAGGTACTTCCACTGGAGTTACAACCACAACAGACACCACTGCCACAACAACTGGAGATACTCCCACTGCAGTTACAACCACAACAGATACCACCCGCACTACAACCTCCAGCACTGCAACTGAACTGTGTCCCACCACAACTGCAGGCACTTCCACTGAGGCTGTAACCACTACAGTCACCACGACCACCTCTACTGAACTCATAACCACAACAGCAGCCAGCATTGTAACTGAACAGTCTGCCACTACAACTTCAGGCACTTCCACTGAGACTACAACTACAGTGGCCACCACTGCCACCTCTACTTAACCTACAACCGCAACAGCAGCCAGCACTTCAACTGAACATTCTGCCACCAGAACTGCAGGCACTTCCACTGACATTTCTACCACAATAGCCACCACTGCCACCTCTTCCAAGTCCAGTAGTAGAGCAACACCTGGCACTTCAACTGAACAGTCTGTCACAAAAACTGCTGACCCTTCCACTGAGACTACAATGACCACAGTCACCACTACCACCTCTACTGAACTAAGCGCTACAACACAGCCAGCACTGCAACTGAATAGTCTGCCATAACAATTGCAGGCACTTTCTCTGAGGCTACAACCACAACAGCCACCACTACCACCTTTACTGAACACACAACCACAACAACAGTCAGCAACTGCAACTGAACAGTCTGCCACAACAACTGTAGGCACTTCCACTGAAGCTACAACCACCACAGCCACCACTGCCATCTCTACTGAACCTAAAACCACAACAACAGCCAGCACTGAAACTGAACACTCTGGCACAACAACTGCAGGCACTTCCACTGATACTGCTACCATAATTACCACCACTGCCACCTCTACTGATCCTGGCAGTTCAACAGCCAGCATTGAAACTTAACGGTTTACCACAAGTGCAGCAGTTTCTGCTGAGTCTTCAACCACATCAGCCACCACCACTTCTTCCTCAGAAGTCACCACTTCAATCCAACCAACCACCTAATTGCTAGCACTTTTACTGATGCTACCACCATGGTGAGCACTACTACCTCCTCTACTTGATCAACAACACCAATGGCAGCCAGCACCTCCATTGAAACAACTGCCACAATAACATCAGGTCCTTCCACTGTGGCTACAACTACAACAGCCACCACTCTCCCTTCTTCTGTACCCGCAACCGCAATAGCAGCTAGCACTGAAACTAAACAGACTACTACAATGACTGTTGGTACTTCCACGGTGGGTACAACCAAAATTGCTACTGTGATTGCCCTCAGTGAGTCTACAACCACAATAGCAGCCATGATGCCCACTGAACAGACTAGTACAACAACTGTAGGGACTTCCACTGAGCCATCAATCACAATGATCCCAACTTCTGCTTCTACTGAATCTTCAACCACAACTGCACCCACTGGTTCACCTGAACTGACCACCACAACAACCACAGGCACTCCTACTCAGGCTACAACCACAAAAGTCCCCATTACTACTTCTACTGAACTCACTACTCCAACAGCATCCATCACTTTGACTGAACTAAACCTGGAAAACAGAAATAGCCACCATTTTGACTACGGTCATTATCATAACAATCATAGGCAGCATCTCTACTAGCCTGTAAGTATAAGAGTCAGGACTATTGCTTCGAAAGAACCAGTTATCACAACAGCAACCATTCCTTCAATTTAACCAAAAACCACATAACCGTATATAGCACTTCAGCTGAATTTAACAGAACAGCAACATGGACCTCATCTAATGAGTCTGTAGACACTAATGGTAGTGCTACCATTTTTTTTTCTTTTTTGAGACAGAGTCTTACTCTGTCCCCCAGGCTGGAGTGCAGTGGTGCCACCTCCGCCTCCCAGGTTCAAGCGATTCTCCTGCTTCAGCCTCCCAAGTAGCTGGAACTACAGGCCTGTGCCACCATGCCTGGCTAATGTTTTGTATTTTTAGTAGAGATGGAGTTTCACCACGTTAGCCAGGATGGTCTCGATCCCCTGACCTTGTGATCCACCCGCCTTGGCCTCCCAAAGTGCTGGGATTACAGGCATGACCCACTGCACCTGGCCTGCTACCATTTTAAATAAACTAATAATCACAACAGCAGCTGCTACTTTAACTGAAGTTAGTATAACTACATCTACTGGTAGCACCTCATCTGAACATGTCAGCATAATTGTGAGCACCATCTCTTAATCCAAACTTATCACTGTAACTCCAAGCTTTGTTCCTTCAACTGAATGTATTACCACAATCACAATTATCTTTTCAATTGAGGCCACAGCCATGACAACTAGGTTCATATTAGCTAAGTCTATGACCATTGTAACTTTTACTGAATCTAGTATCATAAGATTACAATAACAGTCTCACTTATTGGTATCCACAGTGGCCAAAACTCCCACTTCGGTTGAAGCTACAACTACATAAATCATCCAACAACTTTTAACTCAACCCTGAATTACTCTCATATCAAATGAACCTACAAATGATTATTACTTTAACAAAATCATCAGACACTACTACCTGCACTTTAATTGAATTTACAACCCTCACAATAGCTACCTCCAACTCAGTTACTGAGTCTCTTCTGTTTTCTGATACAACTAAACCAACATCTTTAACCTTTACTGCCACCAACTCAACTAAATGAAAGCCAACACATACACTACTAACTCAACTGACTCTTCGATCACAAGTTTCTAGCAATATCAGCTCAATTTACAATCTCCATGAGCATCATTACCTGTTAATAGAAAATGAAATCGCAGTTATAGTTTCTACATAATCTGCTCTCACAATACTGCCAGCTCTTCCACTGCCCCTTCAAATGAGTCCATTCATAGCCACAACAATCATGCTACATCAACAAAAGTTGCTATTCCTATAACATCTACTGAAATTTCACAATAGAGACCACCACATTTCTACTCTATGTACTCCTACAACAGACAAAACTTTACTGAACCTTTTAATAGCCTATCACTGGAATCTACAAGCATTACAATTTCTATTTCATGTTATTCAAAGCCATTCACCACTTATTCATAAATGCAAAGCTTTCATTTTTTCTAATGAATTGACTAAGTCTGATTACTACTCTCACTTGACAAAAATGGCAACTTTCTAATGACCTATTCTAGGGCAACTGTGGTTAGTATACCTACAAATTAAATCCTAACGCCTACTATCATCATTCCTATACCAAATTCCGTATCTGCCATCAGTACCATAGGGAATTATATGGCCAATATCACTGCCAACGTGTAACTCCAAAAACGTGGGGTTATAGTGGTTACCAGAAACAACCACTTCTTAAACAAGACTTACTTATTGCTTATCGACCAGTTCAGCTATTACTACCATGACAATGAAATCATTTTCATGCCTATACTTAGATTTAAAAATATGACTTAGCAGACCTGAACACTAAATGTGGAGTTTTCCTATTTTCTCTGTGAAGTTTTAGATAATGCAATTTTCATACAAAGTAAGTTCAATCTATTTATTTATGTTGGAAACCTCTTCTGATTAAATAAATAAGTTACCAAATATGAATATAGTCTTTTATTATTCCAAAATTTTAGTGCTTAATACATATACTCGTTATGTAATAGGGAAAGAACATTCTGTATGGTGAGGGTATATTAAATGTATGAAGTACCATATTTCCTTTTCAGACTGTGTGAAATTATTTCCATTTCATTATTTACTGTTTAAATTGTTTTGCTATTTAAGTAATATTTATGAATGTGTTCTCACTATTTTTGGTTTTAAAAATTTATTTTCACTAGGTTTTCAGTAATCTTTTACAATCATTCAATTTAAAACTTTGAGTAACCATTTTCTGTGTGCCTGCTATTTGCTGACATACTGAAGAAAATTTAGAAAAAATAACAATGCAGGCCAAGCACAGAGGCTCACATCTGTAATTCCAACATTTTGGGACCCTAAGACAGGAGGATTGCTTGAGATCAGGAGTTCAAGACCAGCCTGGACAACAGGGTGAGACCCTGCCTCTATAAAAAATAAAAAATTAGGTGGACGTGGTGGTGTACACCTGTAGTACCAGCTACTCGGTAGGATGAGGTGGGGGGATTGCTTGGCCTAGAAGCTCTAGGCTGCAGAAAGCTATGATCATGCCACTGCACTCTACCCTGAGTGACAGAGCAAGTCTCTAAAAAAAATGCAGAAAACGGGCCGGGCGCGGTGGTTCAAGCCTGTAATCCCAGCACTTTGGGAGGCGGAGACGGGCGGATCACGAGGTCAGGAGATCGAGACCATCCTGGCTAACACGGTGAAACCCCGTCTCCACTAAAAAATACAAAAAAATAGCCGGGCGAGGTGGCGGGCGCCTGTAGTTCCAGCTACTCGGGAGGCTGAGGCAGGAGAATGGCGGGAACCCGGGAGGCGGAGCTTGCAGTGAGCTGAGATCCGGCAACTGCACTCCAGCCTGGGCGACAGAGTGAGACTCCGTCTCAAAAAAAAAAAAAAAAAAAAAAAGCAGAAAACAATAAAAAACTTAGAAATTTGGGTTCTGTTATTTAGAATTCTTGGTAATTGACAGATTTAAATTAATGTTGATGGTACTTGCATTCCAGTGCAGTTATACCAAATCAAAATCATCAAGGATGGGCCAGAATTCCATATTTTTCAAAAAGTGTGTAGCCAGGGCTCATAAATACCCAATGAAGCATTGAACTCAGGATGACATTGTGACTTGCTATAGGTTTTGGATGGTGTTGATGAGATTGATACAAATCATCTAACAGTTTTTAAGCACTAAGAAAATTCAGTCACTTTTTGGTGTTGCTGTTACCTATAAACAAAAGATGGTGGTATATAGGCACTTCACTTGAGCATGTGGTTGGGAGTGGGAGTGAAAATGCTTTATTTATGAAAAAAAAGTGTTCTCAAGAAACATAAAACAAAGATTTTGATAGACTTTATGCTACTTAGAAATCATATTTAACTGTTTTTTTAATGTCATTCCTATAAAAGTGTTTTCCCCTATTTGGCTATCCTGCTTACTGTCATTATATGCAATTAATTTAACAAAACTGTATTAAAACACTTTAACTCTATTTCTTTCCTTTCCTCATTATATTTTCAATTAGTATTACTTTGTTATTAAATGTATCACTGATAAAACTTTTTCTGCAAATTCTTTCACAGTAAATTTTAGTTAGTAAAAGTTAAAGTAAAATAACTTTTATTAGTTACAACTTTTACTTTTTTCTAGTTCTACATTTCAGCTGCTAATTAGGATGAGAAATGTTCCAGAGTAAATTCATTATGTAAATAAATGCAAGTTTGTTTTTTTAAAAGATAGAAGATTTTCCCAGTTTAACGCATTGTAGGTGCTTAATAGATATTTATTTAATGCAGTTGACCCTTGATCTCTGCTCAGTCTAAAATCTGCATAGAACTTTTAACTCCCCCAAAATTTAAGTACTAATAACCTACTGTTGACCAGAAGCATTTCTGATGACAAATCAACACATCTTTTGTATAGGTATTAGAGACTTTATTCTTAGGTAAAGTAAACTAGATAAAAGAAATTATTAACAAAATCAGAAGGAAAAGAAAATACATTCTTCCTATCCATGAGCATGGTATGATCTTCCATTTGTTTGTGTCCTCTTTTATTTCACTGAGCAGTGGTTTGTAGTTCTCCTTGAAGAGATCCTTTACATCCCTTGTAAGTTGGATTCCTAGGTATTTTATTCTCTTTGAAGCAATTGTGAATGGAAGTTCATTCCTGATTTGGCTCTCTGTTTGTCTGTTACTGGTGTATAAGAATGCTTGTGATTTTTGCACATTAATTTTGTATCCCGAGACTTTGCTGAAGTTGCTTACCAGCTTAAGAGATTTTGGGGTGAGACAATGGGGTTTTCTAAATAAACAATCATGTCATCTGCAAAGAGGGACAATTTGACTTCTTCTTTTCCTAACTGAATCCCCTTGATTTCTTTCTCTTGCCTGATGGCCCTAGCCAGAACTTCCAACACTATGTTGAATA